CACAAAGAGGTCCTTCCTCTTTCCTTTTTTTTTTTTTTTTTTTTTTTTTTTTGGAGTGGAGGTGGGAGGGTTTGAAACAGAGTTTTTCTGTGTAACAGTCCTGGCTGTCCTGGAACTCACTTTTTAGACCAAGCTGGCCTCGAACTCACAAAGATCCGCCGGCCTCTGCTTCGCAAGTGCTGGGATTAAAGGCGTGCGCCTCCTCTTTCCTCTCCGAAGTCGGAGTAGTGGCGATGGTTTCTAGTCTGTGGAAACTTATGGGTGGGGCCCCGGCCATGAGCTTGGGGTTTATGACCAGAGTCGAGGGATCTGCCTTTGCCTCTCTGAAATCCCAAACTCCCATATCGCTTCTCCCTCGCCCAACCCCCTCTTGGTTCTCAAGTTGTCTTCATCGCCCTTCCTCCTTCCAGCCCTGAACTGACCACGTTGCTGGCGAGTGGAGTGAAGGAACCAGCGAGAGAGCCTTTCAATTCTGTCATGCACTTTCAGTTTATATTGGGGAAACAGGCCTGGAGGGTGACTGCTACATCCGCCCGCCCACCCGCCCGCACGCACACACATACACACACGAGCGTTCCTGTTCAGGTGTGACCCATGCTACAGCACACAGGATTTTGTGCGTGCGGGATGGATCAGTGGTGACCTCCCTTGACTCCAGCTGCCTTAGCCTCAGCTACGAGGCCAGTTGCTCAAGCTTCTCTTTCACTGCCCTCTGCTGGCCTTTGGGCTCCTGGGTCTTTTTCAGCTCTTCATGGAAGAGGGTGGAGCACACAGCGGCTCATTCCTAGGACTGGAGGGTGGAGAGGGTTAGTGAGATGATGTCTCATTGGTTAGGAGCACTGGTTAAACCAGAGGACCCAGGTTTGATTATCAGCACCCACATAGTGGCTCGCAACTGTCTGTAACTCCAGTGCCAGGGAGATCCAAGGCCCTCTTCTGGCCTCAGACACCTGCAGGTGAAACACTCCTACACATAAAATAATAAATTAATTTAATGTTTTGAAGGACGAAGAAAACAATGCACCAGTACCCCAGTGTTGAATAACAGCTTCCTCCAAGATTGAAACATTCTGCCCTGCATGAAATTCCTTAAACAGAAAAATAAACAACTCAAAATTAAATCCCACTTGTGCCAGGCCTTTAATTCCAGCACTCGGGAGGCAGAGGCAGGTGGATCTCTCTGAGTTCGAGGCCAGCCTGGTCTACAGAGCTAGTTCCAAGACAGCCAGAGCCACACAGAGAAACCCTATCTCCAAACAAACAATACTGCTTGCTGCTACTTAGAGAATGGGTTATTCTAAGAGTGGAAATTGGGACTCCAGGTAGCTGGAGACTGTTGTAATTCAGGGTAGAGGTGATGCCTTCTAACCACAGGATGAGGAATGAGGATAGGAGGAAATTAATAGACTCTAAATACATTTTGGAGGGAGATCAAGTTTCAGTGGTAGGTGAGGAGGGCATCAAAGATAGGGTGTAGGTTTTCAACTGGAGCCCCAAATGTTAGTGCTATTTTAGTGGATGAAGGCAGGAGAAAAGCAGGTGTGTTCAGGGGCAGTGGAGAAAACTAAAAAGCTCTATTCTGGAGAAAGTGAGTTTGCCATGCCTATTGGTGTTTTGCATCAGGATATATCAGAAAGCTGAGTGAAGATGGGCAAGCTCGGGTAAGATATTGGTAGTCAGCAAATGGGAATTAAGTCATTAAAGAGACAGGGACAGAGGTGTGTATGGGAGAGGGGAGAAGGGGGCAAAGAGGCAGAGGTTGTAGGGGAAGGGAGGAGGGAGAAGCTGTACAAGGTGAGGTCCTACTCTGTTTGGGGATTGTGTTTATGTGTGTGTGTGTGGGTTGCTTTTGAAATTGGGTCTCACACCCTAGCCTAGCTTCTACATCAGTGTCTGAAGGGCGATTAGGGAGGCGTGAGCCACTGTGCCTTGTTTGAGCTCTGGAAGCTACAAAAATCATAAAATTAATATTCTGTCCTCGTTCATCTCTTCTAATCACACTTTGCAAGCTTCGGATTTCAGAAGAGGGAAGGCAAAGACTTGTAGAGAAAGGATCCTAAGGTCTCGGAGGGGTGGGGCTCTCGTTAGGAGCACATGATACAGCCCTTTGCTAAAGTTACAGTTGTTTCTTTAGAGCGGACTGGGACCTTGCTGTGGGAGAGAACCGGGAAAACCTGGAAAGGGTTCTACAGGAGGAAATCTTATAAGGGAGAAACCCCTCCCTTCAAGTGTGTGCCTCCGACCTTGGACTGGGGTTTACAAAAGGAAATTCAAAAGCAGCTTTGTGCCTCCCTCGAAACTGACCTCAGCCCTAGCAGCAAGTCGAGCCTCGCAGATGCGCATTACAACCCAAAGCAGCAAAGAAGGAAGTTGGACCGCAGATGTGAGGGCTCCCTCTGGTTCCGCCCCTCGCGTCCGTCAATCAAGACCTAAAAGACAGAACTGCCAAGCTAGGGCGGGCAGGAGGGCGGAATCCAAGGAACGTTAATTCTCCACAGTGACCAAATTGAGCTCTGGGGTTTCCTTTGCTACAAGGACTCGCTGTTGTTGCTTTTACAAAAACTTAGGTGGGAAAAATGCCTAACACGTTCAAATAATACCGAATAGTACCTAGAATATCCCACAATTCCTTGCCCACGTGCTTATTTAAAAGACATTAAAATACAAGTCAGAAAACTCAGATGATTGGATTGGAGAAATGGTTTACAGAGGACCTGGGTTCCATTTAGAGCACCCATAAGGTGGCTCACAACCATCTGTAACTCTAGTTCCAGGCGATCCAAAGCCCTCTTCTGACTTCAGCAGACACATGGTACATACACATTCAGGCAAAATACACACACAAAATAAAATGCGTCAATCTAATAGTTAAAACAAACAAGCAAACAGCCGGGCTATGGTGGCACAGGCCTTTAATCTCAACTCTCGGGCAGCAAAGGCAGGAGGATCTCTCTTGAGTTCAAGGCTAGCCTGGTCTACAGAGTGAGTTCCAGGACAGCCAGGGCTACACAGAGAAATCCTGTCTCAAAAACAAAATTACAATTGTGGGGATAGGGGGGTGCAAATGTGGAGGTCAGAGGACAACTTAGGAGGGTTAGTTCTCTCCATCAACCATATCAGTCCCTGGGATCAATTCAGGTTGTCAGGTTTGGTGGCAGGTGCCCTTACCTGATGGACCACCGCTTGTGCTCTACTGTAAAATTCTTTTAACCTTTTTGCTTTGTATTTGCTTGAACATTTTCATAATAAAATGTTTGAGTACCAGGGTCTGAGAATAAAAAATTGCAAATTTTTGTTTCAGTAGGTACAAAGTTTCTATGTGAGATGGTGAAAAAGTCTTTTAAATTTTTAATATTTATTTAAATATATATATGTATGTGAGTGCTTTACCTATATGCTTGTATGTGTACAGAGGATGTTGGATTCCTTGGAACAGAAGGATGTGAACTAATATGTAAATGCTGAGAACAAGTACTTTTAACCTCTGAGCTGTTTCTCCAGTTCTGATGAAAAAGTTTTGAGGGTTGGAGAGATGGCTCAATAGTAAAGAACACATGTTGGTTTTTTTAAATTTATTTATTTATGTATATAGTGTTCTGGGATGTATGCCTTCATGCCAGAAGAGGGTACCAAATCTTACTGTACATGGTTGTGAGTCACCATGTGCTGGGAATTGAACTCTGAACCTCTGGAAGAGCAACTAGTAATCTTAACCTCTGAGTCATCTCTCCAGCCCCACATGTTGGTTTTGCATGGGACCTAGGTTCAATTTCCAGAACGCATATGGTGGCTCCCAACCATCAGTTTCAAGGTATTCGACAGGTACCCAAGTGGTGCATATGCAGGCAAAACATTCATTCACATAAAGAAGAAACAGTTTTGCATGTAGAATGTAACTGTGGTTGTACATGTTGCACCTCCTAACTAGCTGGTCATGGTGGTGGATGTATGGGGTCACATTTAGATGGACGCAGAAAGATTAGAAACCCAGTGTCATGTCCTTGCAAGTAGCCACTTTGAGAAGTTTGAGGTCAGCATTGGATACATGATCTCCTGAAAGGGGGAGGGAGAGGAAGGGGGGCAGTTTAGTCTGTTAGTGGTTGTCATTATCTGTAAAATGAGGTGGCTTGACTCACCTAGAAGATCCCTTCCAGCTATGTAATTTCAAACTTCAGTGAGGGAAAAATAATAATTAAAAGTAAGTTTTCAAAACTGGATCGTGTCAAGTGCCTGTAGTCACAGTTTCTTAGGGGCCTGAAGAAGGAGGATCCATTAAACCCTGGAATTCAAGACCAGCCTACACAATGTAGCAAGACCCCAACTGAAAAAGATTAAATTCTCTGAGTGCAACAAGAGGAATGAGAATTCCCTGAAGACAAGGAGTTGCTGGCTACCCTCTGGACACCTGACACTGGTCTTAAAAGTCTTTATCCAAAAGAGATGAGTGTATAGAATAATTCTTAGGAGGGCAGAGAAGAGAGAAAAAAATTAGGGAACAAGGAAGCAGACTTGGCTGGCAAGTGAATGGCCTGCCCTGAAGACTACAGTGGTTCTGTGGGTAGGTGCAGGGTGTGCAAAGGACGAGGGAGATTTTCCTTAAAGTAAGTCACAGTCAGGTGTGGGGGGGTTCAAGAACAGGACAGTGTTAATAGAAGGGTTCTCAAATCTTCAGAGCCGCTTTGGGTGACAGTACGCCTCGCGCGGCGCAGCCGCAGTCACTTCCCTACCCCACCACGTCCACTCGTGTAACTCCAAAACGCACGCTACTCCAACAAGATAAGCCTTGTTGCTGGGGACTGTACAACCCCAGAGCTCAGAGTCAAAAGCCCAGGAAAGGCCCGCCCGTGGCCACGCCCCCACCCCTGATTGGCTAGAGAATTTAAAGACCAGGCCGGCGATAGGGTGATTTTTCTATTTCTAGTATTTGAATGTTCTCGGTGCTGTAGCTTTGCTGCCGGCCTGTTCTGATCGGCTTTTTCCTCCGAAAGCAACAAGTGAGTTGGATCCCTGAGGTAGGAGGCAAAGAATGTGATTATTTTAGGGATTCCCTCCGGGTAAGGTACAGACGAGTGGGTCGGACGGGGAGACAATGGATTGCTGGGTCCGGAGGTTTCATAAATTCCCAAGCTAAGAATTCATCCTTTCCGAAGCACAGGAATCATACTGACCCTGATACTTACTAATTGGTGTTGGAAGGGGATGTGCCTGTCTCAGCCTGTTTCCACCTTCAGCCAGTTTCCTTCCCACCGCCCTGCTTCCTTTACGAAGGTCCGGTAGTGACCTGCGTAGGACTCTTCAAACAGGCTTCCTTTCTTAGCAGGAATCACTTTATGATGTGGTCATTGCAGGATAACAGAGGCTCGCCAGCCCTACGTGCATTTGATGTCACCTTCCACTGCCCCTAGAACTGCAGCAGAGGACATTTCTAGAGTGTTTTCGCCTCGCTCCTGAGTGCTTGTTGTATGTTGGTGGCTCCTTCTGTTACCAGTGACAACCTCTTCACCCTAAGTGTTCTGGACAGGTTTTTTTTTTTTTTTTTTTTTTTAAAGTTACGGCGTCCATACCACCTATAACATCCCGATTTTCCGTGTGCTCCTGTTTCCGCAAGCCTACAGAGGCAGTGGAGATGCTTTCTAGCACCCAGGCGGCCACCGGTGAATGTGACGACGCGGAGCTGCGGTGCCGGGTGGCCGTGGAGGAGCTGAGTCCTGGAGGGCAGCCTCGCAAGCGCCAGGCCCTGCGTGCTGCCGAGCTGAGCCTAGGCCGAAACGAACGCCGAGAGTTAATGCTGCGACTGCAGGCGCCGGGACCTGCGGGGCGGCCACGCTGCTTCCCGCTGCGGGCTGTGCGCCTCTTCACCCGCTTCGCTGCTGCCGGGCGCAGCACGCTGAGGCTCCCCGCCGATGGCGCCCCCCGCGCTGGCTCAGTGCAGCTGCTGCTCTCCGACTGTCCCCCGGAGCGTTTGCGCCGCTTCCTGCGCACGCTGCGCCTGAAGCTGGCGGCGGCCCCGGGACCAGGACCTGCCTCTGCCCGCGAGCAGCTGCTCGGCCCGCGGCCCCGAGACTTTGTCACTATCAGTCCAGTGCAACCGGAGGAACTGCGGCGTGCTGTGGCCAATCGGGCTCCAGATTCGGCGTTGGAGAAGCGATCAACGGAATCAAAGCCTAGTACGGTGAGGACCAGAAAGGGAGTCGGTGTGCTACTGTTGAGATAGAAGAGACCCAGGAGGCCCAAGGTTGGGGGAAGATGGTGTATTAAGGGGACCGCTGGTGATCTGAAATGCCAATCGTACAACGTCTGAGTATGATGACAGGGACGTGGAAATCGTCCATGCTTCCCCGCCAGTAATTCCCGAGATTGGGATAAATTGAGAACTGGAAACTGTGGTCCAGGCAGGCCACATTCAAAGAGAAAGCTGCAGAGAAGGCTAGGCAAGGAAATTTAAGAAGGAAAAATGGGTATTACAGCCTCCAGAGAGAGGAACTTTCAGAGAATGGAACTGATAATAGTCCAGTCGCCATCAGGCGGGTCTGACAGAGCTTCTAGATTCGATCAGAGATGGTCACCACTCTAAGATGCCTGGCACTGAACTGGCGAAAAGCCAGAGGTGGAGGCTAGTATTTGTTGGGACGAACTCCAGACGAACCAGACCTGCCCAAAAGTTCGAAGTGAAGTTAACAGCAAGGCAAAGGGCTGTCATGCAATGTAATTCGTATAGACCAAGCAGCATGGCAGGAGGTTCTGAGAGAGCCCTGTTCCTCCCAGGAAGCTCCAAGGTGGCCCCTGCCTGTGAAGAAGCTGAACATGCACCCCAACAAGCGGAAGCTTTCTGAGGAGCAGGCAGCTGTGCTGAGGATGGTCCTGAAAGGCCAGAGCATCTTCTTCACCGGGAGTGCAGGTAACAGAGACAGCGTGGGTGGAGCTGGGGAGCAGCTCTAGGGTGGCGGGGAGCAGCAGCCAACCCTGACTCTACCTACTGCCCAGGGACAGGAAAGTCCTATTTGCTGAAGCACATCCTGGGCTCCCTGCCCCCTACTGGCACAGTGGCCACTGCCAGCACTGGGGTGGCAGCCTGCCACATCGGGGGCACCACCCTGCACGCCTTTGCAGGTAAGTACGAGCCTATGGGAAAGGAGGTGAGATCAAAGGGTTGGGGTTTCAGCAAAGACTGAAGAGTGTCCCTCGTAGGCATCGGCTCAGGCCAGGCTCCCCTGGACCAGTGTGTGGCCCTGGCTAACCGGCCAGGTGTGCGGCAGGGCTGGCTGAACTGCCAACGGTTGGTCATTGATGAGATCTCCATGGTAGAGGCAGACTTGTTTGACAAGTTGGAAGCTGTGGCCAGGTCAGTATGGACAGCAAGGGCAGTCTCTGGAGTTTGAATCTGGTGATGGTCCCAAGGAGCCTCCCCACCCAACCTCTCTAGAGCACTCTCTGCCCCTATCCAGAGCTGTCCGGCAACAGAAGAAACCATTTGGAGGGATCCAGCTCATCATCTGTGGGGACTTCCTACAGTTGCCACCAGTGACCAAAGGCTCCCAGCACCCTCGATTCTGCTTCCAGGTACTGCTCACACCCTGGCCCCTGACCTGTGCTTTCGGGGGAGTGACAACCTGACTCTGACCCTATGCTTCCGGGGGAGTCTTCTCTGCTCCATGGCTTAACCTCTCCCCTTCCCCACTAGGCCAAGAGCTGGAGGAGGTGTGTGCCAGTGACTCTGGAGCTGACTGAGGTGTGGAGACAGGCAGATCAGACCTTCATCTCTCTGCTGCAAGCTGTGAGGCTGGGCAGGTGGGTACTGGGAAAGGGACCCGTGGGTTGAGGAAGCAAGGATGGTTTGCTTGGGGGTGGCAGGCATCCTGTAGCCTAGACTGGTCTAGAAGTGGCTGTGTGGCCAAGGATGACCTTGAACTGCTGATCCTCTTGCCTCCACCCCCTGAGTCCTAGAATTTACAGGCTGTGGTAACCACACCTGGCCCAGGGAAATGGAAGAGATGCTTCTCCTCTGGAGCAAACGGTATATACAGGAAAATAAGATTTGGATAGAACACTGGATAACTTAGGATGAAATGTAGTCAAGAAGTTATGGCGTTGGGCCTCAGCACACAGGCTGAAGTACTATAGTGAGTTTGAGGCCAACCTGGGCTGTTTAGGGGGGACACTACCTCAAAAACAAAACAAAACAAAAAAACCAAGCCAAACCAAGCAACAAACCCACCACCTATACCATACCTCACATAGAAGCATAGGCTAGCAGGCTGGGGAGATGGTTCAATCAGTTAAGCACGTGCACCTGTGTTTGGAATCCGAATGCCCAGTGCCCATGTAAAAAGCTGAGGGCTGACAGCGCACGCCTATAAATCCCTGTGCTGGGGAGGTCAGACAGGAGAATGCCTGACCTGGTGAGTAAGCTTCAGACTCAGTGAGAGACCTGTAAGCAATAAAAGAGATAAAGTGCTGGGCATAATGGCACAGGCCTTTCATCCCAGTACTCTGGAGACAGAGGTAGGCTTCTGTCATCTCGAGGCCATCCTGGTCTACAAAGTGAGTTCCAGGACGGAGAGAGCTAAATAATGAGACCCTGTCTCCGGGGGTTGAAAGAAAAAAATGGCTAAAAGTAAAACATTTACTTCCAGCCTGTGAAATGTGAGCACTCTTCTACACACACACACACACACACACACACACACACCACACACACACACACACACACACACACACACACGAGAGAGAGAGAGAGAGAGAGAGAGAGAGAGAGAGAGAGAGAGAAAGAAAAAAATACTCAGGCTAGCTATTTCAGCCAAGGCAGTAGGCAAGTGGCTAGAAGATTGTACCCTAAAGGCCAGTCTGATGATAGGAGAGAGAGTAGTATTACAGGGTGTCAACACCAGTGTCTTGTTCCAGGCCTGCAAACCTCTGGCCTGAGCTCACTCATGATAATCCTGCTTCTTCGGGAGCGCTGTGGCTTCAGAGGTGGCCGATTCCTCTCAGGGCACACACAGGAATAGCTCCACCTGCATTCAGAGTCCAGCATCCCTATCCCCATGCCCACAGTCCACATCTGAGGGAAAAGTAGACCGGCTGGGGGTTGGATAGCAGCAAATCCTGTCCTGGTGCCCTTTTAGGGTTCCAAGGCTTTGCCTGTGCAGCAGACCATTCTGCCCCCACCTTTTCTGGTGTCCAGGGGATCTCTAGTCTGACAGTGCAGCCTCCACAGATGTTCAGATGAAGTGACCCGCCAGCTCAGGGCTACAGCTGCCCATAAGGTGGGAAGAGATGGAATTGTAGCCACGAGACTCTGCACCCACCAGGATGATGTGGCCCTTACCAATGAGAGGCAGCTGAAGGAGCTTCCAGGTAAACAGAAGGCTTGGGCCTGGCAAAACCAACTGGGAGGGCCATCAGAACAGGTGTGACCCCCCCTCCCCCCCCACATCCCCAGAAAACTGGGCCCAAGCTCTATGTGCATTTACGATGGAACTATGACCCAAACGCTGTGATGAGCTGATTCCAAGGTCGCAATTGAGCTGTCCCCAGCCCATTCCTGCAACCGTCTTGATCTAATACAGTTTTGGAAGCTGAGTCACAAATCAATACTATAAAACCTGTTTTCTCAATTCTCCTTTTTCAGGTGTGGTACACAGCTTTGAGGCTATAGACAGTGACCCTGAGCTCTCCCGGACCCTGGATGCTCAGTGTCCCGTTAGCCGTGTCCTTCAGTTAAAGCTGGGGGCTCAGGTGAGTAAGAAACGGTGGTGGGGGCTGGATCTCTGATTATTAAGGCTCTAGCAAGGCCACTTGACAGTGATGGACCTATTGTGACCACTTTCCCCCACTTTTCTGTCTTCAGCCTTCCCCTTTTCTCTTCAACATCAAGAGCCCTGTTGAGCAATACCCCTTTGGGCAAGTCACTTTTCCTTGCTGAGTTCAGTTCCCAGGTAGAATGTCTGCCCCATGATGGTCTACAGTAGTCTACCTCATAGATGCGCAGGCTCTGAGTTCTCCTTTATGGGATGGACAAGAATGGTAAATTTTCCTCAGCGTCCATTGGACACCCATGGGGAAATGCAAGCATTATGGCTGAAAGAGGTGGCAGGAGCTAGTATCATTCCTCAAGATTTGTGGTCTTCTTAGCAGACATAATCCCTCTATTTATTTATTTTTTAAATTTATTTATTATGTATACAATATTCTGTTTTGCGTGTATGCCTAAAGGCCAGAAGAGGGCGCCAGACCTCATTACAGATGGTTGTGAGCCACCATATGGTTGCTGGGAATTGAACTCAGGACCTTTGGAAGAGCAGACAATGCTCTTAACCTCTGAGCCATCTCTCCAGCCCTATTTATTTATTTTTTAAACAGGATAACCAAGTAGCCAAGCTGGCCAGGAACTTGTTAAAGTTGACCAGGCTGGCCTTGAACTCATAGAGATCTGCCCGCTTGTGTTTCCCGAATGCGGTCTTAAAGGCGGGTGTGCCACCACACCCAGCCAGACCTAGTTCTTCTTAAAATCCTGTGGTACAGATGACCCTCCTTGCTTTACTACCTTCTTGCCAGGCGATTTGATGAAGTCGAAACTCCTTTGACACAGATAAGGTCACAATAGTTCCAGGAAAATAGGCAGCTTGTTTGAGAGGTCAGTCAGTTAGGGTTACACTAAGAATTGGGATTCAGCTGAGCACGCAGGAGGAAGAAGCAGATGGATCTCTGTGAGTTCGAAGCCAGCCTGGTCCACAGAGCGAGTGCCAGGACAGGCTCCAAAGCTACACAGAGAAGCCGGGCGGTGGTGGCGCACTCCTTTAATCCCAGCACTTGGGAGGCAGAGGCAGGTGGATCTCTGTGAGTTCGAGACCAGCCTGGTCTACAAGAGTTAGTTCCAGGACAGGCTCCAAAACCACAGAGAAACCGTGTCTTGAAAAACAAACAAACAAACAAACAAACAAACAAAAAAAAACAAACAAAGCTACACAGAGAAACCTGTCTCAAAAAAAAAATTGGGAATCAACTCAGTAATAACCCCCTACTCTCTCTGAACCCTAAGCGCCAGAGAGGAGTCAGGCACAGGGAGGCTCCCTCTCCATCCCTGCACTTCTTCCTCCACAGGTCATGCTGGTGAAGAACTTGTCAGTGTCTCGGGGCCTGGTGAATGGAGCCCGGGGAGTGGTAGTTGGGTTTGAGTCAGAAGGAAGAGGTCAGTGATGATGGAGGGGGTTGTACTCCGTGGCTTTATTTCACGGCAGGACAGACCCCATAGGGTGGCTGTCTCCATGCCTTCTTCATGTCTTCCTCAGGGCTTCCCCAGGTACGGTTCCTGTGTGGTGTCACTGAGGTCATCCGCACTGACCGCTGGACAGTACAGGTCACTGGGGGCCAGTTCCTCAGCCGGCAGCAGCTTCCCTTACAGCTGGCCTGGGCAATGTCCATCCACAAAAGCCAGGTGACTTACCCAGTGTAGGGGTGGGCAAAACAGAGCAGAGAGTGGGCGGATAATGCTGGGACATTCTGGAATATGTCTTAAAGGTTTTAGGGGGACTGAATAGCCCTTGGATGGAATGTTCCATTTCAGAAGCAAAACAAATCTACCAGTCTTCCTTCCTTTTCCCTTCTTTCCGTGGGCTCTCATGTAGCCCAGGGTAGCCTCGAACTCATTATGTAACTGTAGAGGGCCTTGGACTTCTGATCTTCCTCCCTCAGTCTCTGAAAGCTGGTTTGACAAGTATGCACCCGGCCATGCCTACTTTGTGTGGGTGCTGGGGACTGAGCCCAGGCCTTCATGCCCGACTAGGCATGACATCAGCTGAGTCACACCCCCAGCCCTAAACTTCTCTTTAGTGCACTCCTTAGTCATTCTTCTCCCCCTTTCTAGGCACTCGTCTGCCACTTCCTGTCGAGGACTAGAATACGTTAATCCCTATAGCAACCATATGAAATGCAGATACAACTGGTAATAGTTGGTGTTACACAAGGTAGAGAACCAAGGTGCTAAAGAATCCTGTCTGGCCACACCGTTAGTGGAGAGGCCAAGGTTAGCTTGGTACAGATTTAGCTCTGCCCCTCTTTGTAATTGGAGGCAGAGGTTATTTTGTCCTGACCACCCAGTCCCAAATAAACACACAAAAGCTTATATTAATTACAGAATGCTTGGCCAATAGCTCAGACTTATTACTAACTAGTTCTACATTTAAATTTCTATAAATAACCCATTTCTATTAATCTATGTATTGCCATGTGGTTGGTTGCTTTACGGGTCCTCTAGCATCTTGCTTTCTGGGCAGCTCACTGGTATCTCTCCTTGACTCCACCCTCCCTCCTCTCTCTATTTTCAGTTTGGCTTTCCCCGCCTAGCTGCCTTGCTATAGGCCAAATAGGCTTTATTATCAACCAATGAGAGAATGATAAACACAGCATACTGAAGGATTGTCCCATGGCATCTGTTTGACCATTCCTAGAGCTCTTTCACCCTCTATCCCTGGATTCCTGTCCCCTGCTTCCCCACCCCCCTGTACTCAGCTCTCCATTGTTTGGGACTCTGGGTGGGTTGATAAAAACCATCCGAAGCAATAGACTTCAGGCTAGATTGGCTTTAACTGTCGCTTCGTCACCCAGGGCATGTCTCTGGACTGTGTGGAGATCTCTCTGGGCCGTGTGTTTGCCAGCGGTCAAGCCTATGTGGCCCTCTCGCGGGCCCGCAGCCTACAGGGCCTACGTGTGCTAGACTTTGACCCCACGGTGGTTCGCTGTGACTCCCGAGTACTGCACTTCTATGCCACCCTGCGGCAGGGCAGAGGCCTCAGTCTGGTAAGGAGTCCGCTGGGTGTGGGCAGACCCCTAGGGCAGCAAATCTTTCTGTTGACTCCTTCGGGGTGGAGGCAGAAGGAAAGAGGCAAGAGGCGTTGGCCTTCAGGCTGTGGCTCTGGGGATGGGCACAAGCCTGTGACTGGCTTTCTGGTTCTGACCTAGGAGTCCCAAGATGATGATGAGGCAAACTCAGATCTGGAGAACATGAACCCAAACCTCCGTCTCAGCTGAAAGAGAAGACAAACGGTGGACTACCCAGCTTCTGGCTTCCTCCTAGGTCAAGGCCCTAGGGAATAACTGGGGGAGCGGCCTGTGTTTCTTCCCTCATTCAGCCTTCTGGTGGGGGGACAGGACAAGGTTTCCGACCTATTTACCAGCTTTGTCTCTGTGTCGCCCCTTCCCCTGGAGAAACTACTCCCAGGGTCAGAAGTTGGAAATGGTGATGTTACAGAGGACAAAGCTCTCTGCAAGGGCTGGACACAGCCACAGAGTTCTGGGCCGTAGACTGGAGAGGCAGGGCAGACCCCACAGGCAGAGTCTGCCTTACTACATTACATTTATTTATTTAGTGTACATGTGACGATCAGAGGACCACTTGAAGGAGTTCGTGTTCTCTTTCCCCATGTGGGTCCCGGGGGTTAAATTCAGGTCATGGGCCTTGGTGGCAGGCTCTTTTATCTCGTGAACAACCTTGCCAACCCCGGGATCTGTTTTCATTTTCTTTGTGTTATTATAAATACGTAAGGCTGGGTACTTTATGAAGAAAATGTGTCTAGCTATGCTGGGCTTCCCAGCAGCTGGTACCACACAGCAGGAGCACATGCAGGCATGATCATATAAAGACAAGCGGCAGAAGACAGCAATTCTGTGGACTGCCATTAATCCATTCCTGGGGGCGGGACCCCTTGCTTTAGTCACCTTCCGTGCGCTCCGTCTCTTAAGAGTTACATCATCCTGACACTGCTGCACCGGGGACCAAGCTTCCAGCACAGAAACCCATAAGGAAAACCGTCCAGACCATGGCAGGAGCCTAGAGGGGATAGAGACCAGACGCAAACCCAAGATAGAAGTTTAATTACCTTCGCAGCTGAGCTCAGCCTCACACAGGCCTGAGTAAACACCCTTCTGAGCCTGTGCTGTTTTTAGGGGTTTTAGTGCTGAGGGCCCTGAAATGGATGTTCTCGGGTTGTATTTATTTAGGCCAAATAAACCCGTGAATTGTGTAACTGTGCCTCCTGCCTGGTCTCTCTTCCTCACCGAGGGAGTGCACACAGAGAGCAACCTGGTGTGACATCTGTGAGGTTTTGTTCATAGTAACTGTCATCTGAAAAACGGAGTTATCTGAAGGTGGTGACAGACAGTGGACCAACAAGGTGCACAACTGTCATCCAAGAGCTAAGACAAAGACACCCTAGAGAAGTTCTAAGTTCGGGTTCTCCCTGAGACTCTGGCTTTGACAGCCTGTCTGATCAGGAAAGAGCCATCAACAAACTACCTTCAGTTTATCAGAAAGCACGACAGAGGGGCTGGCTGGAGAGACAGCTTGCTGGTTAATAGCCTATTAATGCTCTTGCAGAGGATTGCACTTCGAGTCCGAGTACCTGTATCAGGTTATAATTATAGCCACCTGTAACTCCAGCCTTGGGGTGCCAGAAAGGCAGGAGGTGTCGGGGGCCCTCTGAAGCTGGAGTTACAGGTGTTAGGCTTGGGTGCTGGGAATGGAACTGGGGTGTCTCTGAGATAGATATTTAAAATAAATTTTAAATATTTTATTTAGTAAAATAAA